GCACTGTGGTTTCCAGCCCTCAGTGGCAGCAGGCCACCTGTCCCCAGATGCCGATGACTGTTGAGCTCAGTTCTGCACCGGCACCCAGGCCACCTGCTGCCTGGTCCTTGCGCTCCTTCTGCTCTGGCCCTCTAGTGGCCAGCTGACAGCTCCATCTGCTCTTGTCTTTGGGGAAGCCCACAGCATCCCTGTGTCCCCACAGTGTGGTTCGTTTGTCCACTCTCCGCTCTCGGGCATGAGGCTTGTCTCCTGATCCTGAGACCGGCCATGGTTCAGGCTCAGCCGGGCAATGCAAACTTAGAAGGGGTCTCTGGAGCCTATTTTCTGGCTGGCGGCTGCCATGGCCCTGGCCTACGGGTCACTCAGACACGGAGAGGCTCAGATGTGGCAGATCCTCTTGGGGTAAACCAGCCCCAGGCGAGGCTGCCAACTCCAGGCGAGGCTGCCGGATGTAGGAGTGGTCCAGCCACAGGAGCTCAGCCGGGAGCCAGAGGCCCTGTGGGAGCAGGTCAGGGATGCTGACGGCGATGCTGTCCAGGGAGTGCAGGCACGGCCCGGGGTGCATCTGCTCGTGTGGATCTAGGGGGGCACCCAGGGGCTGGAGCTCAGAGGCACAGCGGCACCCCCGGTCAGCAGCAGCAGAAGGGAGACCCTCGACCTGCTGGGCCAGGCTGACAGTGCGGGGAGCAGCCAGCCGGGTGGACTTGGACGCAGGCCACACAGAACCCACGGACAGGTGCTTCCTGGGGTGGGCACGGTGGCGGGCAGCGTTCCTCTTCCTGGTGGCATCTGCTAGGGTCCTGCACACCATGCATTTGCGGGAAGGCTGAGGGGCTGGCGGCGCAGTGCGGGCCTGCGGGGCCATCCGGTACCCTGAGAGTCCAGTCAGACCTGGGGAAATTCAAGAGCCACTTGGGAGAGGAGAGGATGCAAAAGGAGGGCCCACGGGCGCAGACAGCCAGTGCTCAGTGGGACAGCCCAGAGGTTGTCTGTCAAGTGAAGAAAATCAGGGAGAGAAAAGCAAACACCAGTTGATTACGCTCATACTTGGGGCAGAAAGAACAGAACAAGATGTCCCTGGGGGTTCCATTGAGACACGGGGTCACCAGAGGTGCACTGCTAGGCACACTGACATTGGGGTGAATGAAGAGGGATCACAAGGAAACGAGGACCAAGCACTCAAAGCCTCTACCTCACAGCCCTCACATGGGCTTGAAGAATCGCTGAAGTGCCCTGAGGAGCAGATGTAGTGACTCCCGTGGACCAGAATAAGACGTCTCAGAGGCTGAGGAGATATTCAGTTAGCTGAGATGTTCGGTCAGCTGAGGAGATGTTCCACAGGCTGAGGAGATATTCAGTCAGCCGAGGAGATGTTCCATAGGCTGAGGAGATGTTCAGTCAGCTGAGATGTTCCAGAGGCTGAAAATATTCCTCAGGCTGAGGAGATGTTCCATATGCTGAGGAGATATTTTGTAGACTGTGGGGGATGCTCTGGAGACTCTGGAGATGCTCTGTTAGCTGAGGAGCTGTTCGGTCAGCTGAGATGTTCTGTTGGTCAAGGAGACTGGACAAAGTACCAGGAGTCAGGGAAAACATTATTTATGGTTAGGCGGGTGGGTAACTGGGTGGGTCGCTGGGTGAGTCTCTCAGGAGAGATTATCTTTCGCATAAACAGATGGAGCGAAAATCCCATTATCCAATGCAGGTCTGGATTCTCTAACCCAAGAGCTTCTTCCCTCTGCCTGAATGACTCACGGGTCTTTGCCACCTGGGACAGAGGTGTGGCACTCGTGTTCCCAGCTTGCTGCTGTAGATTCTGCTCACTCCTTGGACCCACAGAACCCTTGGCCTGTGGGCTCAGAGCCTTCCCCTCACTGCCCAGTGGAGCCTGCCACTGCAGATAGTCCTGCAATACCTGTCTGTGGCCTGCTGCTGGTTTTGCTTCTCGGTGAACTCTACAGAATGACGTATTTTTAAAATAATAATAATAATAAAATAATAATAAATTACAGGCTAGGAACTTTTCATCATTCACTGTGCAACCAATTAGCACCCGAAATATCACACAACTTTTGCAGGTCAGTTTAAGAAATCAAGGCAACCACAGAAGTGGGGAGAGTCTTGAAAAGACAGAGAAGTGTGGGTGGTGTTTCTCGTCCGAGCTTGAGGCCACACGGCCAACCGCATGTTATCCCGATAGCTCAGGGAGAGGACATGGCCTGGTAGGGCAGGCCCCAAGCAGAGCAGTGGAGTGGGGAGACGGTGGCGTGTGTGTGCGGGGGAGAGTTCTGGAAAGGGAGGAGCTATTTCTACCTGCAGCGCTGAACGGAGAGGCAGCAGGGCTGGGATGAGGGTTAGTTCCCATAGCAGAGGGTAGCGAGGAGTGAGTCAGCATAGAGTTCAAGGCAGAGATGATAGGCGGACAGACACAGACACAGACACAAACACAGACCTGCACACAGCCCTGCCTTTAGATCAGTGTGGCGGAGGAGGAACACACTCGTGGCACATGGCGGAACTATTTCTTTGTAGGGGCTTGAGCCATAGTACAGCAGGGAGGACATTTGTCTTGCACATGGTCGACCCAGTTTCCATCTGTGGCACCCTATACAGTCCCCCGAGCACTAGAGGAGGGATCCCTAGACAGAGCCAGGAGTAAGCCCTGAGCACCACTCCTAGACAGATCTACTCCTAGTGTAATGATTTATTTCAACAATCTTGTCATGCCGGTAGAACGCTCATAGTAGTGTTGACACCTGGGGTCCGTGAGCACACGTTCTGCCACCACCGGGTCACCAAGCCTCTCTGCCAGCTAACCGCAGCTCAGCAATCCCGGTTTTGCGTTCAAAGGCCACAAGTTCATTCTCATCCAGTATTGTCTGAGCCTTTGTCTGCGTAGGCCTTAGTTTAGAAACTTGAAGAAAATGCACGGAACTTTAAAAGTTCATTTAATCTTCTGATTTTGGGGTCTTGCCTGGCTGTACTAGGGTTTACTCATGGCAGGTCTGGGGACCTCTAGGGTGCCTGGGATCAAACCAGGACCGGCCACGTGTAAGGTAAGTGCCCTGCCACCGTACTATCATCCTCCTAGGGGCCACCCCCACAGAGCGTGGCTTGCTGTGTGGGACCCTGAGGTGGGACTCAAGGTCCTGTTCATGCTGGTGCTCTTCCCCTCAAACCGACCGCCGCATGCTTCTAAGGTCCTCACATGTCAGCATCCCTCATTTCCCAGGCCGGTGTCTGGGTTACCGTGGCCAGTGCCCATGCAGTGCTCAGTTCCCAGAGCTGCCTCTTCCTGGTTCTGTCTCGTCTCTCTCTGACGTACCCCAACCCCACACACTACTCTACAGCCCACTGCAAGAGGCCGGCTGGGGCCGGGGGCCAGGGGCCAGGGCGGGTATGTGGGTCCCGACTCAGACCTCTCTGCCTGGCTCTGGGGAACTCCAGCAGGGGGCGGGGGGAAGCTGGGTGGGCCTGGAGACTTTTCAGACCTGCCCCTCCCCCTTCTAACAAGCCCCTCACTGCTCATGGGCACCCTTGCTGCCCTGATTCTCCTGGAACTGAGGAACCAGCTGCATTTACAAGCTCAGCTGTGTCCACAACTCCTCTGAGACCCTTTCATTTCAGCTGGGGCTGCCTGATCTCTGGGGGACCCTACCGGCAGTGCCTCTGCAGACTCAGACCCTGTCAACCTCCTCCTCCATGCCTGGGACACAGATGAGTTTCTCTTCTCTCCCTAGAGACACAGAAATATCAATTCCAGTCTGGACCCCTCTCTGTGGGAATGAGTGGGCCAGGGACACCCCGAGAGAAGTGGACAGACCTCAAAATTTCAATCTCCCGGCAGCCTGGGCCCCAATGCCCACCCACTCTCACCATCACCATTAGCCTCAGAGTTGCATTCCGTTCCAAGCGTTTCCTAGAATTTTCAGTTTATTGGTTCTTTCTCTTCTTGGAGCCAAGGTGGGGGTTGGCCTTACTCCTAGCTCGTGCTCAGGCACTGCTCTGAGTAAAGTTCAGGGGCCCATAAAGAGTACCCGGGATGGACCCGGGGTAGAAACAGCATGTAAGGTGAGAGCCACACCCATGTATGCTCTTAAACCCTAGAGTTTTTACAAATAATTTTGTACGGGGCCAAGGATCAAGACCCAAGTCTGACTGCCTGGGAGGTGAGCACTGTGCCCTGAGTCAATCGCAAGCCCTCTCAGTTCATTTATTTGAGGGAGGGTTCCCCAGCCACCCCACTCCAGCCAGCAGGGCTGACTGCCCATGGGGCTTGTGCAGTCAGCAGTGCTTGGGGACCCCCAGGGTCACAGCCAGCCGTGCTTGGAGGCCTCAGAGGTTTCTTGGGGTGCTAAGGGGGAACCCAGGTCCTTGTCCACGTGCCCACCACGAACTTCCCAGGAATAACCTTCACCCATCTTCAACTGGTGAAACAGACCCTCAAGGTCTAGAAGGCCAGGAACTATTTCAAGTGCGCCAGGAGGAGAAACAGGCTACAGAATCCCACGGCCTCAGAAGGGCCTGGTGTGCTGGAGCCGTCAGGGCTGCCTGCACAGCCTGGAGGGACCCCCAGCCGACTGATCCAAACCACACATGGGCGCTACAAAGAGATGGTCTCCGGTTTCAGTGACCTTTAATATCTCTGTGAACAAATATGGGTGGGAACAATTAAATGCACCAATTTCTCAGAACAATCATAAATAATTTCTGGGCTTCAAAGGGGCTAATTTGCAACAACAAGAGAGCAGGGAAGGAGGCAAAGGGGGAGGCCGACGGGGAACCAGCCATAAGACCGTGGCCCCCAGGGGCCCCGGGCCCATCACCCTGAGCGGGCAGGACACGAGCGTGCACCAAGGGCGAGGTGTGGGGGTCCGCGGCGGTGGCCCCCCCAGGCAGGGCTGATCCTCGAGAGCAGCACCGGCAGCGACCTGCGCTCCCCGGGGGAGGGGGCTCAGGGCAGCTCCTGCGCTTTGGTGGGGGGGCGGCACCACGCCCGCTCAGGGGCGCCTCTTGGCCCGGGCCTGCTGCCCCGCGGGCTCCGGGGTGTCCTGGTCCCGCGGGCGGCGTCCCCGCCGGCCGCGGCCCGCTGTCCTTGGGGTTGGCGGTGGGGTCTCGGGGGCGACACGGGCACGGGCGCGGGTGGCGCGCAGGGGCCGCGGCGCGGCAGCGGGGTGCAGGACCGGGATGCTGCGGGGTAGGTGGGCGAGCCTTCGGGCCCGGGGAGGGGGCTCAGTGTGGTTGGGCCGTGCACGGTCCTGCCCGCGCCGCCACAGCTCGTAGCGCTCGGGCTGCAGGACGCGCACGAAGGTGTCCATGGAGAAGGACACGCGCGCCTCCCCGCAGCTGCACTGCGCCGCCGCCTTGCCGTAGTCCACCCAGCGAGCTGTGGCGAAATTGATGGCCTCGGCGCAGTTAAAGCCATGGTTGAAGCCCGCGTGGTAGCCGTAGGGGAAGGTCACCATGAACTCCCCCGCCTCCTGCGTGATGCGCCCGAAGGGGATGCCGTGGTCCTTGAGCACCGTGGGTGACATCAGGGCCACCTTGTGCCGCAGGAAGGCGCCGCAGCCCCGCGAGCTGCCGGGGAAGAGCTCCCTGGCCAAGCGCTCCAGGCGGCCACCGTGCTCGGGCGGCACCGCGTACCATGTCTTGGGCGCGCCAAAGTGCAGGTAGTTGATGCTGTACAGGTCCATGTCCTCTGTGTGCCAGGCGAAGGTGGCCTTCCACATACCGAAGTAGAGGTAGGGCGTGTTCACGCCCTCAATGACCAGCCCGCACTCCTGCTCCAGCAGGTCCTGCACGGTGCCCAGGTGGCCCAGGTTCCACTGGGTGCTGCTGCCGTCAAACAGGGAGCCGCTGATGTCAGCACCGTACACGGGGCAGCCGTAGAGGCGCGTTTTCCAGTACTTGCGCTCCAGGTCCTGGAAGTCGAGGTGGGGTGGGGTGCGGTGCTGGTCGCTGTGGGCCAGCCGCCGGTACTCGCCCACAGTCATGGCCTTCTTCTTCTTGTGGTACTGGGTGAACACACCTGCCTGCCCCGACACCACCTGCTGCAGCGGTGTGCTGATGAGCATGTCCTCGATGTCATCGTAGGTGCTCCTGGCCTTCCAGTCCCGTGGGGGGATGACTTTGGCCAGGCCTGCGCGGTGGGCACCCTGTGACTCCATGTACTCGATGTACCTGTCAAAGTCACTGAACTCCTCCTTGGTCGGGTGGAAGATCATTATGCTGCAGCTTGGGTTCAGGGTGGTCTTTGTCTTCATGGCTGCCACAAGCGCAAGAGCCCGTGGGCGTAGTGGGCACCGGGCAGTGAGGATGCTTGAGAGGGCGGGCCTTTGGGAAGTCAGCTGGTGAGGTCCCGGCTGCAGCTGCCCAGTCTGGGCTGGTGCTGGCACTTCTCAGGGAGATCTGGGGGATTATCAGGGTCTTGCTGAAAGCAAAACCTGCAAGAAAACACAAATAAACTGAGGAAGCGCTATGGCCACACTCCTCACGCTGCACTCAGCAGGGCGACGGGCAGGTGAGAGCAATGAAGGGCCACGGCCACACTCCTCATGCTGCACTCAGCAGGGCGACGGGCAGGTGAGAGCAATGAAGGGCCACGGCCACACTCACGCTGCACTCAGCAGGGCGATGGGATGGGCAGGTGAGAGCAATGAAGGGCCCTCAGGCCAAACAGATGGGTGATGCCTGAGGCCAGTGGAGATGTGAGGCAGGGCTGAGCCTCATCACATCCTCAGAGGAAGGAACTCACAGACCTGACATCAAACTTTCAGAACATGGGAACGTTTTCTAAAGGGGAAAAATACCTAGAAGGATTCCAAGAAAAACTAACTAAATATGCTAAAATAAGTAAATATAGTTTATATTTAAAAATGCTACGGGCTGGAGCAATAGCACAGCGGGTAGGGTGTTTTACCTTGCACGCGGCCAACCCAGGATTGATTCCCAGCATCCCATATGGTCCCCTGAGCACCGCCAGGGGTAATTCCTGAGTGCAGAACCAGGAGTAACCCCTGTGCATTGCTGGGTGTGACCCAAAAAGAAAAAAAAAAGCTACAATAACACAATATACCAACCTGGTTCGAATGTGACCTCGGGCTCCCAAACAGACCATGAAACAGCCTCTCTGAGGCACCTCCCAAACCTCTAAGAAATTCACCTCTGACCGTGAATGCCTTGAATGTAAAATACAGTGAAAAGCCAGTTAAGGGGCTGAACTTACCCGATAATAACACCAGGAACTGGGTGCAACTCCCAGCATCTAGATGTACAAGCACTGACAAACATCTGCTCAAGAAAACGCATCCAACCAATGCAGCCAAAGAGCCCAAGAATAAAACTTCCTGGGCACAGGAAGCATCCAAGAAATGCAAGGACTCTTGTTTATGAGAAAACCTAGTGGTATCATTGAGACTAACAAAGGATACTTACAAAAATCAAACCTTTAAGCAAGAAAATAATTTGAAAAAGCATTTGATGAAATTCAGCTTCAATTCAGGACTTGAGAGTTCTTGAATGTACCACATTATGTAGAGGGGCTGGAGGATAGTAGGGGAGGGAGGGCATCTGCCTTGCATGCGCTGACCAGGTCCAACCCCAGGTACCCCATATGCCCCCCCCAAGCCAGCCAGGAGTGATCCCTGAAACACATAGCCAGAAGCCCTGAGCACCACCAGGTAGGGGGGAAATAGGATGTGAAGTTGCAGGCATAAGATGTAAGGCATCATATTGAAGACAAGGGCTGTTCTGGCACCACATTAACATAGCAAGTATCAGCAGTGAGAAAAAAATCTAGTTAAAAGTAGGGGGGTACTCTCTCAACAGTCACTCCCCTAATAGCTGGCTTGGAGGACCCCAAGACTGTCTGCCCTTTACACGCATGTTCCCATTCCCGCACACATGCCACCGGAGCCCAGGCCTACCTTCTCACAGGGCGCCTCGTGCTTCCGACTCCTCTGGAGCAAACACTTGCAAAAGAAACACACAGTTCACTTATATTGTGTCAGAGAGACTCGCCCAGCCGGCACCCACCCTAATCCATCAGCCCACCCTAACCCCTCCTACTCAGTCAGCTTTGCGCCACCTCCATTGGGACTGCCCCCACCTCACAGGCCTGGTGACTGGATCAGCTGGGTGGGATTGATCGACTTGACTGGAAAGCCCCGCCTGGCAGTGCTCCTGGGCTGGAGGGCCCAGCCACCACACCACCAGTGGCCCTTTGCCCGAGGCTTGGGGCTCTCTGAATGGGGGGAAAAGAGGCTCCCAGGAGATGCTCAGAGACCTGAGGCTGCTGTATGGGCACTGCAGGACCGCCTGGGCTGTGCATGATGGGAGCAGGGGATCGGGGTGCCCAGCGTCAGCCCTGACCCTTGTCTATTCTTCCCGCCCATAAAATCTTGACAGGCAAGCATAGATGGGACAGCTGCCGAGCCTCCCGTAGGCCAAGCCCCTGGTTTGAAACATCAAACCCCAAGGGCCTTATGGCGGAGGGGGGCTACGAGAAGGGGGGTGGGGCTCTCCCTGATGCAGGCGGGAAGCTATGGCTCCTGGGGTCTTCTGAGAGTCCCCTCACAGAACCGCGGCCCGCAGACTGTCAGGGACTTGCAGAGACAAGAGCAGGGCCAGGCTTTGCAGACTCTGAAGGACAGAGATGTCCAGGCCCTCTGGGAACAGAGCAGGGACCCTTGTGCTGCATCTGAGCTCCAGGGAGAAAACGACCCCCCACAGGCAGGGCACCGTGGTGCTCAGGCAGCAGCTGTGCTTCCCTCCTGGTCCCACATTTACGACCCCTCACCCCAGCCCCGCCAGCAGGGTGCTTCAGCCCTAGTCTCCAAGGGCGCTGACCTACTGCCTCCACATGCTCCCAACCACATTGCAAGCTCAGAGCCACGCGTCCCACAGCTGACCATCCTCCAGCATGTCTGCCACAGGAAAGGGGTCCGAGAGGAGGCGGCCAGGCCGTGACTGGCTGTCAGCCACGAGAGGAGCTTGCGGCAGACTCCGAACCTGGATAGTAGCAGCCCCAAGGGCCATTTACTGGTGCTTCAAACCTTCATCCTCCCTGCTGGCAACCTCCTCCTCACTCTCCCCTCTAAGTGATCCCGGCCAGCCCTTACCTGGCTCCAACCCCTCCTCCCAGAGCCCCCAGGCCTGTCCTCAAGTTCTTCTATCACTGAGTGTCAGGGACAGGCCTCGGGCTGCTCCCTGCCGGCTTCTAGGGCTCCTGGTCCCCGCACCCTTGGCAGCCTCTCCTATCTGTGGCACCCACTTCCCGCCTGCTGTGTCTTGAGGAGAGACACCCATCCCCCACTACTGACATCAGCCAGCACATGCCCTAGCAGCAGGGTGCTCTCCTCAAACCCCGCAGACCTCGCTTCTCAGCTTTTCCCCAGACCTCGCTTCTGCGCCAGACTAGGTCTCCCCTGCCACCCCACCATAGCTTCATTCTCAAGGGGATGGCCCGGGGAGTCCCAGAAAAGCAGTTCAGACAACTGCCCGTGCTCCTGAGATGACCCCCTCGAGTTTGTTTCCACCATAGGACTGCGCTTGGCACCCTTCCTCACAGGGCCAAGGACCCTGAGTACATGTCTGTGCTGGCATCCCCACGCCTGCTGCCTCAGGGCGCCTTCTCAGACCCTGGCTTTCTCATCTCCCAGTCCTTCCACAGTGATCTTCCTGTGTCTAACAGGAGATGCCCGCCCCTGGGACTCCAGGGCCACACCCAGCGATGTTCCCTGGCCCCTACAGTCATTTCCTTTCCTTTTCAGTCACACCCCGCTGTGTTCAGGGATCACTTTGGGGGGAACTCGGGACCCACAGGGGATGCCAGGGACGGAACCCAGCTTGCTACCTGCTGTGCTACATCCAGCCCTCACCGTCATTTTCTCATACACTCCACATATTGGGGGGACACCTAACCAAATGTTTCGTGCTTTCAATCCGAAAGGCTTACATCAAGGAACGAAGAGACAGAAGGGAAATGACCTAGCAGGGCAGCCAAGCATCCCAACTGGAGCAGAGACACCGGCACTCCTAAGGGCACCGTGGAGGCCCCATTCCTCACTCAGCAGACATGGCCTACAGGCTCCAGGCCACGCGCCAGAGGAAATTGTCTGTTTGAAATCGTAACTGCTCAAAACAAACAGGCTCACAGCCAGCAGGCTCAGCCCAGTGTGGGTCTCCACGGCTGTGCTCCGAGTTGCCTGCCGGGACATACAAGGGCCAATACCCTCCCCTCCAGCCACGCCGCTGCACCAGAATCCCTGCTCCACAGGCACTGACACTGCTAACTCAGCCAAGAGCAGTTCCTTCTTTTCAGGAGGAACAGTGAGCCATGCCTGGTGTGTTAAACTGGATGAATGTCTGGAAATGAAAGTCTTTCCTCTATGTATAAAAAATCAACCTGCCAATTTGTGCGTGCAAGTGTGCATGCCCACATGTGCCCGCCCAAATATCGTCTGTGCATGTGAGCACCTGTGCATGTGCTAGTGTGAAGACGTGGTGGGTGAGATTGTCCCCAGTCCCATTCGCAATCTGTGTCCCAACTGCTCAGTGGCTCCGGGTGAGCAGGAAGTGTCTGGAATGGGCAGCTGGGGGAATAATCCCAGTCTATTCCTGAGACAGCCATTGCTGACCAATGTCCTGGACACCAGCTGTTTGATGAAATATTTCACAAGCTAGACTCATTGAGACTGATCCAGGGCCATATTCCATGGCAAATTCTATTTTGAGATGAGTATCTCAACGTTTCCTCTATTATCACTGATGCTCTTTTTAAGTTTCCACAACTATTACACATCGCTGGTAAATATTTTTATCTTAAGCTTCGGTCCTAGAAGAGTATTTGAAGTAAAATGTTGATTGAATGGAATTCCTTAGATTCTTGTGAATGCAGTCACTACAATGTAAGAGCGTATTTTAGAATCCTTAACACAGACTGTTGAAGCTTTCTAGAAAAGTATCATTTGACATCTTCAGCACTGAATCACTTTAAATTGGGGGGACTCTGCTCATTCGGGAAGTGCAAAGGTACTTGGGTTTCCGAGGCACCTTCCGTAGCTGAGCCCTGGGGAGTCATAGCCGGGTCAAGCTCGCTTCCCTGCAGGTCCACACCCCTCCACGAATGGACGGGTCAGATTCTGTCCCTCCACTTCTCCCACTCCACACTCTGCAGTGTTCAGCATTTGCTCTCAGCCTTCTCTCGTCCGTCTCCTCGCTTGTGTCTTAGAGTGTCCTTGCACCTGTGGCCCATGTTGGCATGTCCTTGGTTAGAGGCCCAGGGTGGGGACCAGGAAGACGGGGGAATCCTGAGCCCTCTGCTGTGGCCCTTTGTCAGGTTTATTCTGTCTAGGGAAATTTGCTGCCATCAACGCAACATTTTCCACCTTTGCATTTAGGATCAGAGGATGGTTTAAGCAAAATGCACCTCCTGCCTGATCACATGGGTGGGTGGCACAGCTAGGGACAGGGGCACATGCCTGGTCAGGTGGCTGGCACAGCTGGGGCTGGCATTACAGGTCACACACTTTTTTCTCCCTTTTCTGTCCCTGCTCATTGTCTCCAGTTGTAAAAACTGTCCTCGTTTTTATTTCCCAACTCTCCTTCTCACTCTTTTTTAATTTCTCCAATCAAACTTTGCATTTCCAACTAGTGCTTTTGCCCTTGTAGGGTTATGTTTGCTTGGTTTGGGGTTTTATCTAAGCACCTTCCTTTAAAAAAAAAAAAAAAGTCTTGTTCTTGTTCCACGAACACATTCCTCCTGCATCTCTGGAAACTCTCCAACGGTACTGTTTTCAGAAGATTCCTACCCTGCAGGGTCGGTTTCTTCACATTTCTACCCTTTTCTAAAAGCAATTCTCAGAGGCTTAGTGAGTCCTGAGTGTAGGCAGGACCCAGCCACATGGGAACTGTGGGCATGGACGGGCTTGGCCTAGGAGTCTGCAGCCAGGCCCCTCCCCCTGGAGAGTGCCAACACCCACTTGGGGTTCCTAGCCTGCACAAATGTGCACTCTTCCTGGTCATGACTCTCTAACAGGAGTGTGAACGTGATTCACACAGCAGCAGACAGGATGGCATGCACAGGGCAGAGACCCTACTGTCAGTGTGAGTCACACCTGGTAGGCTGAGCAGGGTGGGGCAAACCCAGGACCTTGTCTGTGCAGGGCGTGTGCACATCCCTGGCCTGACAAATTGGCTTTTCACATAGATCTGACAAAACATGCCCTGGCACAGGCCAGGGCTCTATACCCTGGATGCTTGGAAAAGCCGGGGCTCATGTTGTGGGATGGCACTAAAGAGCAGAGGGAATCCCATGATGGCTGGTGGCCACGAGTCTCACACTGTCTACTAGAGTTCCCATGCCTCACGGTGCCAGCTCTACCCTCACGCTGATCTTCTTAGACAGGTTGGCCCCAACAGTGGTTGTCTACTGTCATCAGCACCCAGTGCCCAGCACCCCTCACCACTGTCCTCCATCCCTTCTGCTTGGCTCTTCCCCCACCCCAAACACAAGCTCAGGGGTCTGTTTTGTAATCCAAGACCAAGGGTTTGTTTACACTCAATATTGCTTATTTCCTCTCTGTTTCTCTATTCCTGAGGTCGCCTGCTAATCATCCTCCATATGGCTTATTTCACTTAACGTAATGCCCTACAGTTCCATCCAAGTTCAGAAAACGACAAGATTTCATCTTTTTATAGCTGCATAGTATTCTATCATGCTTATAGGCCACAAATTCTTTATCCACTCATCTGTCATTGCATATTGGGACTATCTTCATATCCTGGCTATTGTACTTGATGCTGAAAAGAGCACGGGTATTCATGAATCTTTCTTAGTGTTTCTGTCCTCCTGGGGTTAATGCCAGTAGTGGACTCTGGTGACATGGAAGCTTTCTCCTAAGTCTGTGAGAACTGCCCTGTTTCCAGAGATTGAACCAGCCAGCCCACGTGCCCACCAACACGAAGGGAG